GGTTAGTAACTTAGTATCTTTCTCTGGGGATCATCGACCACTTTTCAAATACATTGAACCTTTCAGATCATTGATACAACAAAAATATTCAAGTACAATGAGGGAAATCATCAATGGAGGTGATAAAATACCAAAGTCCCAAAACTGGGGGAATGCAACAAAGTCCCCAAAACACATTGTATACAAACACAGAAAAAAGGAGCATTGCCCTTTTCCTCTTTTTTTGTGGATTACATAATAGTGGTTTGTAATGCTGATTATGCATCTGTATAGTGTATTATAGATGATCTAGAAAATTTTAAAGCTGCTTCAGGCCTTCAAGTACAACAAATCTCAAGTAATAGTTGGAGGAGTGCAGGAGCAGGTTTAAGATGAGGTTTTACAGCAAACTGAAATGAAGAACGGTGAATTTCCTATTTCCTTTCAGATACCTTGTTGTACCCTCTACTGCTTCTAAACTGGGTATGAGAGAATATGAGGCTTTGGTTGCCAAGCTCACTATTAAAATACTCCCTCCGTCCCACTATATTTGTCCACTTTCATTTTTGCACACCATCCAATGCACTTCTTTAATCCATTTAATCTTGTAATTTGTATATTAAAAAATTATAGAAATTATATATTAATAATCTATATGTAAAGTCAAATCAAACAAGATCACACATGACTATATTTAGGCTTACACATTGAGAGAATTTGGCGAGTCAAAGTGCTTAGATGAACAGTTCCAAAAGTCAAAACTGGACGAATATAGCGGGACGGAGGTAGTAACAAGTTGGGCCTCTAGACACTTTACATGTGTTGGGAGAATAAGGAAAATTACTTCTACCCTAATGAGAATTCTTGCTTTCTGGTCAAGAACTTCTGTGTTGCCTAGTATGGTAATGAAGAAGGTACAAGCTGTGTGTAGAAACTTCATGTGGAGCTCTACTATGAACTATACCTGAACACCAATAGTTAGATGGGATTATGTCTGCCTCTCAAAACGTAAGGGGAGACTGGGACTCAAGAATATGACTAATTGGAACACTGCCTCTATCATGGGGCTGATTTGGGATGTAGCTTCAAAGAAAAATGTTCTGTGGGTAAGATAGATAAACTACAGGTACATAAAGGACTGTCTTCTGGAATTATCAACCAAAGCCTGATTGTTGTTGGTATTGGAAAAAGATGTGCAAGGCGAGAGACAAGATGATAAGGTTCACATGGGCAGATAACTTTTAACTAAAGGCAGCTTATCACCGGATCATTGGGAACACTGAGAAGTCATGGCGGTATACGGCTGTTTGGAAGAAGAGTAGTTTATCGAAACGTCAATTATAATGTGGCTCCTTTTAAAGAATAAAATTCCGTTTAAGAGTGGTTGTCAAGTTCCTTGATAACTGTACTCTGTCCTCTTTGTGGAGGTGAAGATAAAACAGTGAATCATCTTTTTTGAGAGTGTAATTATGCTGTGCAACTTGGAATGATGATTCTAGACTGGATGAAAAGTAGGACCAAGGTGGGGATATTCATAAAGCCATAAAGAGGATACTTGAGAGAAACATAACAAGAACACAGAAATATACACTTATGCTGCCACTGATTCAATATGTCATGCAAATTGGAGGATCAGGAACTTTTAAGTTTTTCCAGGACCTTGATGTTGCCTAAAAGAGAGTAAGACAGTGATTAAACAAGAGGTGGGTATCTGTTGTGATTCAAGACTGAAAGGTTTCAGATATTTACTGAGGCATGATGTTTAGTTCGTTTTTCTTATACTGAGATTATGAGTTTCTGTGAGGGGCTGCTCCCTTTATGTGCTGTTTTTCTGGCCTCTTAAGTGTTGCCTGTGGAAGGATATTAAAGAGAAGGCTTAAGAAAAAAGGTTATTATATTGAAATGCTATTATAAAGAGTGGTTGTTATAGACTTATAGAGAGGTTTGACTGTATTCATTTTATAAATTGTTCAGAGTTAGATGTTTTGGAGTAAAGAGTGCATAATAGGAACGGACAAAAGGTCTAAGCAAACATTTTAATCTTTTGAGAATTTTAATTTTAGAAAAGGACAAAAGGTCTAAACAGATATTTTTGTTATTGGCACTCCAAAATACACTATTCATGTGAGAGAGTAAATAGTGCAATTTGGAGTGCCAATATCAAAAATTGGAGTACAAATATCATTTCTACTATGCAAGTGATTCATTTCTTCCTGGTGTGGAACCCAATGTAAGAGGTGAAAGAAGACACCTGAGCTTCTTGATATAAGACATATAACTAGAACATTCGGTCATAAAGAAGACTCCTAAGCTTATTGATATGACTACAGCATTCTATTTCTAACTACTCAACTAGGGGATAGCAGCATCACACAATAGAAGCTCGGCAATGGATAGTAAATCAATGAAGAGAAACCCAAGGTTTCTGTATTGGCAAATCCCATCCTAGCTCTATTGAATAAATGCCAGATGCAACTCTGAAGTTTCATGCAAAATAAAATGCAGGTATTGATATGTATATATAAAGCATACCGAATATATTATTAGAAAATTAATATAAATAGAATTATATTTTAAAATTGAAATATGATTTTATGAGAACGTTAAAAATAATTACTGTATATGAGTCCATGCGAAGCACATGGTTAAAACTAGTGAGAAAATTATTACTATTTCAGGTAGAACAAGTTTCAGCTGCAGGACAGAACAGTATAATGCTTTACGCATTTATCACACAAAACATTGAAGTTACTTGAACTTTTTCCTACGGAAAGAAACAAATCTCGGGGGAGGGTGGTTGCAATTTTAAAGCTTCAATGACCAAAGGTAACATACTAACATGCTATTAACCAACGGAAAAACAACTAGATAGAGGCCACTCTTCTATTTACATTTCAAAGAATGATCATGTGTAAAATGTAAATGTAAATTTGCACCTAACCTTGCGCATCCGCTCTGCAAGTTCAACATGAGCTGTCTTTACTTCATAATCATCTCCAGTTTTTGTCAGGCCCTATTAAAAGTAAAATCACAATTTAATGACACAATTGAAGAGTGTAACATCTATGGGGTATCATTAAATCCATGCTTAAGACCTCATTTAGTTCAAGGAAAC